TCAATACACTATGGACGCAAACGGCGGTTTCATATGTTTGATAATTCGCGGCCGTCGTCGCAACCGCGCTAGGCTCGCACTGTGGACGAGGCCTAGGAGTTGAAGTCATGTTCTGGTTTATCAGGTTTCAAAATAGGTATCACACATTGCGTTTTCCAAGACTTTGGAATACATTGATTGTCCCAAAGCATATTAAATATTTTTAAAATAGTTTTTTGTACATTAACATGCATGTTGCTAATAAGTTTGTATGGAATATCATCCAATCCCGGAGTGGAATCTCTCCTAGATTAGATGGCTGCAGTAAATTCATGCCAAGTAATTCTTTCAATAGAAAAGAGCTACTGTCAGTACCTATCTGATTAAATATTGTATTTAAGTTTAAAATATCTATTTCCTTTTCAGAAGGTGTTGTTATGGGTGCATATTTATCTAAAAACGAAGGAATCCAATCATCATTTTTTGATGGCTTATGTATAGGTACCCTCTTAAATCTCCTAATATATTTCCAGACATAAGTTATTGGAGTATATCTATTAAATTAATCACAAATTCGTATCCAACTTGTTTTCTTTTTTTCACTAATTAACCTCTTTTTGAAGGCATCAATCTTTTTATATTCTATATAATTTTCTATTGTAGGATTTAATTTGTAAAATCTTAAAGCATATTTACTTTTCTTTACAGCTTCCAAACAGTCCGCGTCCCACCAAGGAACTGGTTTTCTCATAACAAACACATTAGGTTTGGAAATTATAGGTATACAGTCTTTCCTTATTTCAAGTGTGTTGCAGAAGTTTTCATACGTATCAAGTAAACTTGATGTATCAATTGTGAAGTTTTCAAACATTTTTTTTTCAGCCTGGAACTTTGACCAGTCTGCTTTTTTATAATTGAAACGTTCGCAAGGTTCTCCTATATCATATTTTTCAACACAAGTATATAAGTCGACTATGGTTGGATAGTGATAACTACCCATAGGATCATTATGTACATGCCAATTACATAAATGAACTTAAGAAGGACTAACACATGAAATATCGATCATTAAATTTAATTTTAATCAATCTTCTATTGATTAAAATTAATGCTTCCTACTGTAGTTGGAGGTCCATTATTTAATATGCAAAGATTACATTCGTCTAATATGTTATAGATATCAGTGCCTCTAGTTTTTGTTGTGAGACATCCAAAAGCAATATGATGAGCATTTAAGTCACCTGAAAGCAAAAGTGGCGCAGGTAGAATGTTAATAATTTGTTTTAATCTTTTGACCTTAAAGCGACCTCCACTGGGTGGGGCATAGACACATAAAATCAAGGGCATGCAACTTAGAACATTATTTTACGAACAAAATGATACGTTTTATGTGCTTCCATCTAGATTCCGAAGCGCTAGGCTAGACGTATTTTAATCTCACTAGAGGGCACTTATATATTAAGTCTATGCATACGCAATAATCCACGCGCACTACGTAGTTAGTAGAGTTCACTGGTTACGCTTAAATTGTTATTATTATTTATTGAACATTATTTATTTTTAGAAAATTTCATTTTATCTGTGTCAATGAAAAACTGCTAAAATATTATTAGAATACGAAGGTAAATTTCATCACAATGGACAAGGTTAAAATAGCTCAGGTGGATGATCGGGCGGTCCCGAAATCTAAAGGTCCTACATCGCGTCCAGCAGATGTGTTTATTTTTTCCCTTTTTTTCAAGTTCCTTCTTTTGTAAGCGCCGTCTGTTATGCAAAGCACGACACTAAAGAAAATTAAATTTGAGTCGCGCATCTATCTCTAGTATATATACAGTAATCTATGCATAAGATGGTTATATTACCTAGACTTGTAAGGGTTATAGCTACCGACTGCATATAATCATAGAACGGTGTGGGGACAACAAAACATTTGAAACTATTTTTAATTAATATTGCTACTCCTCCACGTCCATTTTTTCCATTCTGATTAATGAAATTATAGTTAGGAATGTTGATAGTTCTATTCTCTCGCAGCCATGTTTCAATTAACAGGCAAATATCTATATCATTCTCAACTAGATAATTAATAAGCAAAGGTTTTTTTTTATTTGAGAAGCAATTTTATTTATAGAAGCGCATAAATTTAACAAATGTAATGTTTTTACTGACTCATATAGTTCATTACAAAGCATTTCATCTAACCCGTTTCGAAGTAAACCGAAATTCCCAATTATTTTTGAAATAAAAGATGCACTGTATAGGTGTTTTTGTCAAGGTCTTAACCTGAAACTTGCTTGGCTGCCAAGTCATAGTGGCATACGTGACAACGAATTTGTCGATTCCTTAGCAAAGCAAGCATCTACTTCTGGTACCGTCATGCATCATATAATATATACTCATGACCTTATTTCTCTTCCGAAAATCCATCAGATGTCAGATTGGAACTCTCTTTGGAAAAAAACTCAGAAGTCTATGTAGAATTAGATTGGGACACACTTGTTCACCTGTATTTTGGCAAAACAGATTAAAGATAGCTCAATTTGTGAGTGTGGATTAGACGAAGGTACGATCGATCATAAATTTTTAACTGCTCTAACCTCTCCGTTTCATTATACGATTTTCTTCCTAATAACATCCCTCGTCCTGTCAATCTTAAGTCTTTGTTAAACTTAGTTTACACTCCTTTTGTACAAACTTTATTAGATTTCATATCCATTAATAACATTAAACTATAGTACCTTTTCCACTTACCTATAACCATATTATTATATTAGCAATAATTTTGTAAAAATATTATAATGAAAATTCATTCGAAAATAACTACATAAGTAAGTTCGTAACATAAAGTTAAGTAAGCGCATCTACGGAAACGGAAGCTAGTAAATACTCTGTGTGACTCTCATGAAATACTTGACGCTGGCAAAATCCATTGGAAGTTGCCAAACTAGGAAAAAAAACTTATTACCAAAGAGTATAGTAATATATAAGGAAGTTATTACTTACTAGGGTGTGACATTGAGTGAAAAAAATCGATTAATAAAAAAACGATTTTTTGCTTTGTGATAATAATAATTTTTAAGAAAAATCGATTATTTTATGAAAAAATAATCGTTTTTTGCGAAAAAAAATATTTTATTCGAAAAATAATTCGGTTTAAGAAATAAAATTCAGAACAATTTTTTTTAACATATAACTTTGAACAATAAAAAACTAAAAATAATTACTGCCACAAATGTTCAGTGCCATTTAACAATTTATTACAACCAAAATAAACAGAAACGATAAATTAAACTAAGTTTTACGGATTTTATCGCGTTTAATTTAACTTTTTAATTCCCGACATTTCAGGTGCTTTACAGCACACATGGTCACAGAGGGGACTGAGGTGTTTGACGTCCCTATGTCATAGTTGAACCACAAATCCTCGCAAAAGAACACCGATTCCTACCAAGGATGATTCGCGAGGCTATCGAAATTAAAAAACATCCTAATTTCAATAGAGAAGACGGATGGGTGCTGCCATCTGCTTGGCATCCTATAATTAATCAAATTAAATCCAAACCCAAGCATACCACTGTAAGACTTCAAGATACTGTAAGCTCATTCTGCGTATATTGAACCAAAAATTAATATTCCAAAACTGAATTTAGCCAGGCTAACTATGATATCTGGACTTCAAAGACCTCAGTTCCCCCCATGACCATGGGTGCTGTGAAGTACCCGAAACGTCAGAAATTAAAAAGTTAAATTAAGCGTGATCAAATCCGTAAAAATTAATTTCATTTAATGTGTAGTCTTCGCGTAAATATAAGAAATCATTAAGAAACCATAATTTTAGTAAACGATAGTTTTTTTAAAACTAATTTTGAACAAACAAAAAGTCTAAATATCATTATGCCACTAATGTTCAGTATCATTTACATTGGATTAGAATGAAAATAAAATAAAAATATAATTATAAATAATCCGACGACAACCTTTTGATCTCAAAACTAAAATACAAGACAAATCTTTTTTAAAACTTGTGTAAACAAAAAAAGTAAAAAAAAATATTGCCATGAATTTTCAGTTAGACTTTAAAAACAATCATTTCACCAAAATTCTTCAACGTCTCTTTCCCAAAATACGGTTTCGTTTTTTCCTGACAATATTTCCCGCTTTCAAAAATAATCTTTCGGCTGGCGCGGTACTGGCCATCACTGAGAGGTGTTTAAAAGCCAATTCGGTTAGTTTAGGGAAATTTCCTTCCGAGCTTTTCCATATATTGAGGGCTGCCTTGAGATTTGATAGTGGTGCCGCAATATTTAGATCCAATTCAGTATTTTTGCCTATTGACCTGTTGGCCCCTATCATTTTTTCATTATAAAATACTCCTGTCAGTCACATTTACGCGTTTCACAAGACATTTTTATTGTTTATATATAATTGTTTACACTAACCAAAGAAAGAAAGAAAACCACAGAATACTTTTACTCCTAGTGGAGGAAGAAACCCGTTGAAAACATACGAAAAGCGAAACTGTTTTACATACATAGAGATACATAAAGGTGGCGCCGTCTTTTGATTGACTTATTCATGTTATTGAACTTACTTCACGTTTTTACATCCATCGCACAGATGACTCTAATTACAAAAATCGAATGAAACGCGTAATTTACATAAAAATCGATTTATTAAAAATCGATTTTTATTATAAAAAAACGACTTCGAAAAATCGATTATAAGAAAAAATAATCGATTAATATGAAAATCGATTATTTTTTCACATCCCTATTACTTACACCTGAAACCACAGAGTACATTATATATAGGGAACCTGAAACCTGAAAGCTACAATTTCCATTTCCAATAATCTAATAAAATAACCGAACCAATTAAATTTTCCAGCACAATCGTCAAATTTTTCAAATAAAACTTGAAAGAATTTGATTTGTACTTTAGGAAACATGTGGAAGTAACAATAAATTTCAAATATATTATTCTTTATAGCGTAAAGAATTTTCTTGTAGTTTCATACCATCATGGCTAATGAAGAACATAAACTTTTGGCTCAATATATAAAAGAAGTTCACGCCGCTCTAAGGAAGGCTTCTTACAAAATAGGAGTACAGAAGGCATGGCAGGAACACTGTAAAAATGAGAAGGTTTTAAGTGTTTATGCAAAGTGTATGGAACAGTTGGCAACTAAACATTGGGAAAGTAATTGTGCAGTCAATACTAATGAAATAGTATCTCGGATTGATTGGTCTGCAGATTTTTGTTATAGTTATTATGTGAACAATTACTATCTGAAATTTCATGAAAAAGAGTTAGATATTTCAGACAAAATAAACATTACATTGAAGACTATGGAATCATTTTCATTACCTTTAAAATTACTTGATGTAGGAAGTTGCTATAATCCGTTCAATAAATATGGTTTCTTTGATGTATTGGCTATTGATTTATGTCCAGCAAACAATTCTGTTTTAAAATGTGATTTTTTAAATGTGATGATTGGAAACAAATTGATTATAGAAGCTCATGAAGTATATCAGTTACAGCAGAATTACTTTGATATAGTAACATTTTGTTTTCTTCTTGAATATATACCAAATTCAGAATTAAGAATAGAAGCCTGTAAGAGAGCTTACTGTGTCTTAAAGCCAGGTGGTTTATTAATAATTAATACTCCAGATTCAAAACATGTTGGAGCTAATTCTAAATTAATGAAATGTTGGCGATACACTTTAGCTTGTTTAGGATTTTCAAGGATTAAATATGAAAAGTTTAAACACATGCACTGTTTGGCTTTTAGAAGGTCTTTAGATAAGGAGATACCAAGAAGATGGGTTACACTGTATAAAGAACCATTTATGGAATTTAGTCTTAACATACCTCAGGATTTTCTTTGTGATGGTGAAGATAAAAATATCAGTGAATATTCTACATGTACTAATTGTGTAGCTGATATGGAACTTTTTGGAGAACTTCCATTTAATTTAAATTGTGATGCTTGATTGTAAGTTTAATAGCTAAACATACAAGTGTTAAAATTAAAAATTTTGTAAAACCGACTTCAATGTAAATAAAATGAGAACATCATCAGTGTAGTTGAAGTAAATTCAATATGCATTATTAAGGATAACTCAAAAACTACGATCAGATCTTAATCAAATTTATATTAGATCACATGAGAAGCATCAAAGCTCATGAGACAAATCATCAAAATCGTTTCACCTAGAAAAAAGTTATGATACACATTAAAAAAATGCAATTGAGAACCACCTTCTTTTTCTGAAGTCGGTTGAAAATAAAGCTACTCATAAGCCTTTTTGACATAGTATTAAAATGACTGCAATTAAAATTTTGTATAGTAAAAATTCTCTTTTTTTATCATTGGGTTTTGCATATTTTTATTATTTTACAATATAGGTATGTTGTAATTTAAATTGCAGCCCTTACATACACATTTGAATATTTGTCCTGCCTGATAGGTTGTATAGTTTCACTCTGAATTATTTAATCTTTAGACTTTTTATAGTGTATTTATAAAATACTTGCTGGTACCCACTGCGCTGTTGACACAAAAGAAATAATTGTTGAAATATTGTTTTAAATTTGGAAGAGTTATATTGTTTAATTAGGTATGATAATACATTCATTGTAGTTGAATGATAAATAACTTTCAAATAAATTTATTGGTAAGATATGTGCACCACCTACTGTAATTTGAGGGATTTAAAAAAATTGTCATTGAGCTACACTTCATCATGTTTGAAGATTGGATAATTTTCTAATGATATGAAATTTGGGGTCAAGGTATAACATTGATATGTATCTGTAGGCCCAGTAAGCATGCAAGTTACAGCTAGTACTATTTGTGCAGATATATAATAGAGTTCTAAATGATGTCACCTCTGTTCATCAGTTGCAGTCTGCATACTTCCCACTTCTGGGCACTGGCCTACACTCATGTCTCAATGACTGTTTGTGGACTCTAGAATTTTCTCCTGTATTGTGGTGGCTGGTTTATGTATATAAATTGTTGAAGGACAAACCTCTAGACCTGGAACAATTATTTGTAGGCCGTACAATGCCAAGCCACTGCACCATGGAGTGATCCTCATGCAGTTTTCTTTACAAAGTTTTCCTTCACCACCAAGCATGTGGTAAATTAAATTTTATTTGTGTTCACAGGGTTCCAAACACTGTCAACACCAATAAAATTTAATTATTTTAAGTTTTAAATTATTATATTTATTAGTCTCTATTGTTAAATTCTTAAAAATGTTATATTAGTTGTTCATTGATTTACTTCTCTTTTATAATATTAAATTAATAATTCTCCGATTCATCATTATCGTTATGGCACTTCATAAGTCGACTGAACATAGACCCCTTCCCCATGGAATACTACAAAGTGCAGTCTTGAGCTACCTGCTTCCATAGATTTCCTACATCTCTTACCAATTGTAACTTCATCTTGCAGGAGCCACCCAAAACTTCACTTACTGGTAGTAGGCTGTCGGGTTGAGAACCTTTTTCCCCACAGGTAACCGTTTTTCAAAATATATGGCTGGTATCATAAAATTATATAATTAATAATTTTTCGATTAAATAAAATAATATATAATAATTATTAATATTATTCCAAAAAATAAATATTGGTAAATTTATCAGTCCCCTGTTATAATATTTAGTTATCTATTTAATTACATTGCTCTTAGCTCAATCAATTAACAATCTTTGTTAGATTAACATGAAATTTCCAAATAAACTAGCACAATATTTTATTTTATAGGTATAAATTTTAATAAATAAATTTATATTAGTTTACAGTATCTCATTCTCTACAAAATTACCTGAGGGACAACATCATTATATAAAATGAAAATAAAGCTAGCCTTACTTTTTACAATACACTTGTATAAGAAAGGTTTACATTTAAATAATTTACCTAAATTAAATTGTCCACTTCATATAATAATCTGAAATAAAAACCCAAAAAACGCATAAGTATTACTTTTTTATTACACTTAAAATTATATGCTTAGTAGCAAAATATTTTATCTTAACTTGCAAATATTATCATTACAATGAAAGGTACATAGTAACAAGAAATAACATTCTAATTTATTTTGTTACTCCAAATTTGGCCTTACGTTTTTCTAATTTCTCTTTATTTTCAATATCGGTCATAATTGAGGATACTGATTGCCCAAATCTTTGAGCTCTCTGTTTTAATTTTTCTAAATTTTCCTGTAATGAGCCAGTACTTGAAACCGCATTATTGGAAGTTGTTGTGTTTGATGCAGTTTGGCCGAAACGCCGTTTCCTGGCTTCTTTTCGTTCATCTTCAGACATTTTTACTGGTAGACCAAATCGTTTTGCTCTCATTTCTAACCTTGTTTTAGGATCTATATCAGCAGTTATTTTAACTTTGTTGTTATTAATAGGAAGCTTCTCCTCTAGTTTTGTTTCAACAGTATCCTCTGTAGGTTTGGGAACAGGTGTCAATGAAGCAGCCCTATTTAAAACAATTTTTTTAGAGCCTGTTTCCTTACTATCTTGAGTAGATTTATCTTTTATCAGTTCTGTCGGAGTAATTTTCCTTTTAAGAGTTCTTTGTGGTTTTGATTCACTAGTTTGTTTAGCGGAATGTTCTTCGAGAGCCAATTCTTCGTTTAAAGTGTCAACTGCTGTATCGTCCAAGATATCTGTTTGGCTTTTATCATCTTCGTCTTCAAGTACACCATCAGAGTCAATTTCATCAGAATCTAAGTTTATGTCGCCGTGATCATCTTGGGAGATAGCTGCTTGAAGCCTTGCCACAAGTTCAGCTTTATCACCGGTGTACGCTAGTCCACGAGATTTTAGCTCTTTCCTTAAATCAACAACCTTTAATTTGCTTACGTCAGTCACTGTTGAGTCGGCCATTATAAATATTATCCAAGATAACTCTAATTGTACGCACCTTTCAATAGAAAACTGTTTTGTTTAAAATACCTATTACTATTACCACACACAGACTACTTAGCTTAGTGGATACTACCACAAACTATATAGAAACACTACGCGTTCAGACGGACGTCTCTGGTACATTCATAGATAAATATATATGTAGCAAGCTAGTACATTAAGGCCGGCCATATACATACGGAATTCCGTTTCGATATTCCGATTCGGGATTCTGAACGCAGCAAGTCCATATAAAATCTATGACCCGCCACACACGTACGTTATTTTTCCGTACGGAATTTCTCCGATTCGAGATTCCGTATGACCGTCTGTGCGTTCGGGATCCCGAACGGAAAAAAGCCGCTCCGAACGCACGTCTTCCATAGATTTTGTACGAGTCGCAACACACACGTAAATTCCGTACGGAATGCGCTCAGTGTTTGTCGCACGACCGAAGCGAGTAGGTGTATTTATGTATGTTTTTAATCTTGTAGGTGTATAGCTTTTCGTAACCTTTCATCTTATTTTATTTAATAATTCCTCGATAGAATTTACATACATAAATATTTAAAAAATATCTCTGGATAGATAGATCTTTTTACATAGTATTGACTATATTGCAAGCTTAGGGTGATAAGGGGATCAACAGGGTATGCATGCCGCCACGGTGTGCTGCCCTGTTACGGCGGCCAAAACCATAGTGGAGGGCCGAAGGCTTCTGGTGGGCTGGGTCTCAGCGCAGGTTAAGCTGCTGGAGCCCAGACCTCTGAGGTGCTACCGCTGTCTCGTGGGGCACCACGTATCTGTGAAATGCGCCTCGGAGGTTGACCGCAGTGGCCTTTGCTTCCGCTGCTGTCAGCCCGGACACATATCGGCGACCTGCTGAGCCACGCCGCACTGTGATGCATGTGCGGCGACCGGCAAGCCAGCCGATCACCGGGCCTGCGTGCCACCCGCCAAGGCCAAGGCCGCGGGTAGGGGAGGGCCCTCCGCCGCCACCGCCTCTGTGGCCACCGCCGCAGTCGCGACTGCCGCCGCCGCCGCCGCCGCTGTCACTGTCGCTGCCGCCGCCGCCGCGACACCGACGCCCGCAGAGAGGCGCCCCGTGGAGGAAGCTGAAATGGAATGCCTATAACGGCCCCATTAAGCTTCCTCCAGGCGAATATCAACCACTGCGCCTGCGCTCAGGATCTGTTGCTCCAGAGCATGGCGCAGTGGTCGATCAACATCGCTGTGGTCGCTGAGCCGTATTTTGTCTGGCCTAGGGAGGACTGGGTGGCGGACCTTAACGGCTCAGTGGCCATCATTTCTTCAGCCGCCGCCGGTACCCCGACCCTTGAAGGTGTCAGGAGGGGTCAGGGGTGCGTAGCAGCACGGTTCGGGGAGTTCGTCGTTGTGGGGGTGTACTTCTCCCCGAACCGATCTCTCGCCGAGTTTCACAACTCTCTTGCAGAGCTGAGAGCAGTCGTCGTCGGAAGTAATCCCCTCCCCGTACTTGTCCTCGGGGACTTCAATGCCAAGAACTTGGCTTGGGGTTCTCGTCGTACAGATGTGCGGGGTAGGATGGTGGAAGACTGGGCTCTGGAGACAGGCCTGGTCGTCCTAAATCGGGGTTCTGTCCCCACGTGTGTGCGGATGCGGGGCGAGTCGGTGGTGGACATTTCGTTCGCTAGCCCCGCTCTGTCGCCGCGTGCCATTGACTGGCGTGTCATGGAGGGGGTGGAGACCTACTCCGACCACCGGTACATCCGGTTTGACGTCTCCACCCAGCCCTCGAGCGCGCCAGTCCAACAGGCCCCGAGTGGTCCGCGTTGGGCGCTGAAGCAGCTGGACCGGGAGCTCCTCCTGGAAGCCTCGATCGTGCAGGCCTGGGTGTCATCACCGGACAGGCCTGCCGACGTCAATGATGAGGCAGGGCATCGCCAACGCCTTCAACTCCATGCCCTGGAGCTGCATTAGGGAGGCACTCCGGTATCACCGGGTGCCGACCTATCTCCGTCGTATAGTCGGGGACTATCTGACGGACAGGGCCGTCATCTACCCCGGTCGAAACGGAGAGTGGAACCGGCGAGAGATGTCGTGCGGTGTCCCACAGGGTTCGGTTCTGGGGCCGCCCCTGTGGAACATCGGTTACGACTGGGTGCTGCGCGCCGACCTCCCTACCGGCGTCAGCGTAGTTTGCTACGCTGACGACACGCTGGTACTGGCACAAGGGGGGTCGTACGAGGCGGCGGCGGAAACTATGACACGCGGGGTTGCGATAGTCGTTGAGAGGATCCGGCAACTGGGTCTCGAGGTGGCTCTGCACAAGTCCGAGGCCATGCACTTCCATGGTCCTCGGAACAGGCCACCACCGGGATCCTCAGTGATGGTAGGAGGGGTATCCATCGGCGTCGAGTCGACGTTGAAGTACCTAGGACTCGTCCTCGACGGCCGATGGAACTTCGTTGAGCACTTCCGACGTTTGGCTCCCAAACTGGAACGGACCGGGGCTGCCTTCAGGCGGCTCCTGCCGAACCTGGGGGGGCCAAACGCCTCCTGCCGGAGGCTCTACGCGGGGATCGTGAGGTCCATGGCCCTTTACGGGGCCCCGGTGTGGGCGCGTGGTTTGGCGCGGCTTGCCGTCCACCACCTAAACGCGCCCCAAAGGGTGGTTGCCGTAAAGATGGTTCGCGGCTACCGCACGATCTCCCGCGAGGCGGCGAGCCTCCTTGCCGGATTGCCGCCATGGGATCTGGAGGCGATAGTCCTCGCGCGCCTGCACGAATGGCGCGCGGCAGCACTATGCCGGGGGGAAACCCCGCTGCCGCGGCAAGTTGTCGCGCAGCGGACAGACTTCCGGCATGATCTCATGGCGACATGGAGAGAGCGACTGTCGCAACCCCGTGCTGGGCACGCCACTATAGCGGCGATAAGACCCCTCTTTGAGGAGTGGCTTGAGAGACGCCACGGCGTCCTCACCTTCCGCCTGACGCAGGTCCTCACCGGACACGGTGTGTTCGGGAGGTTCCTGCACCGAATCGGGCGGGAGGAAACGCCCGGGTGCTCCCACTGCGAGGATCGACCGGAGGACACGGTGGAGCACACCGTGGAGGTGTGCTCTGCTTGGGCGGAGCACCGCCGTGTCCTCGTAGCGGCGATAGGCGGCGGCGACCTCTCGCGTCCGGCTCTGGTCGAAGCCATGGTCCGGAGTGAGACGGAATGGGATGCCGTCACCACCTTCTGCGAAGCAGTGATGCTAGCGAAGGAGGTGGCGGAGCGGGAGAAGGAAAGAGCAACAGCTTTCCTTCCCGGCCGCCGCGGGAGACGCCCCGGGCGTCGGGGGCTACGTCGTGGCCCCCGACCACCGTAGGCGCGGGCCTGTGGACGGCGAGCAATGGGTAGCTCGCCGTCCGTCCGTCTAACGACGACAGGCCGTGTCGACGGCGCGTTTTGTTCCACGCGCGCCTCAAAGAGCTGTCAGCAGCGTGAAGGGGCCCGCAAGGGCCGACGCCTGCCGGGGCTGCGGGCTGTTCGAAAGAGATACCGCGGCTCCGGAACGTAAGGGCACTGAAGGAACACGGATGGTTTTTAGTCAGTAAAAGTCTGACACTCCCTTCCGCTCCACCCACAGCGAAAGGCGTCATTAGATGATTTTCCATCCGCAAAAAAAAAAAAAAAAAGGGTGATAAGGGGATGCACCTAGTAAGAATGATACAGCAACAATGGAATTTGCAATTAGAAAATCGTCGTCATTATTTGCTGGCAGAATGTCTAGACTCAATGGCTAATGTCTCTCAACTGACCCTTGTTATTTCGAACGGAAAAAAACGTGTGTGCGTTATGTATTCACGAAACGAAATTCACATACATACGGAATTCCGTTTCGGAATCTCGAACGCAGCAAGTCCATATAAAATCTATGACCCGCCACACACGTACGGTAGTTTTCCGTTCGATATTTTGCGGGCAAAACGGAATTCCGTTTGTGCGTCGGCCGACCGTTCGGATTTCCGAAACGGAATCTTGAAACGGGATTCCGTATGTATATGGCGGGCCTTAGTCTGGACCGTAGAGCAAATCAGAACATGACATTTCGTTTTTTTTAAATATGAATTAGATATAGGCAAGGGAATAATTTTATTTCAGCCTAGTATAATTTATTTTTATATTTATAATATTAAATACTATTTTTATTATTATTATTTTATTATGAAGGAGGATTCGTAGAAATAAAATGCATTGTATATATTATTTATTTTTTTAACTTTTTTAAACTTGTTTAAGGTTTCTTTTTGGATTGTTGGCAATGTACACTTTTCGATTCTAATGATGTCCGTGCCTTTCAGAATCCCATCTGTAGTATATGCTATAGAGTAAACATATAATTGCTCTCTTGCTGCTTGCACTTGAATATTTTCAGTGGAAAGGTTCTCTTCAATACATTCGATATTGAGCTGGAAAAAGGAATATTTAAATATATAAATTACAAGTTTAATATGCACATATTAAACTTGTTGCTAATTGTAATTGTTGTTGTTTATAAATGTTTGCATAGAAAATGTCAAGACAAGAAGAGGCCATTGTAATCAGATAAAGTTACTTTCACATAAATCTAAGAAGCTTTCACAATTATACAGAAATTTCCAACAATTTTTGAACATAATTATCAATGATACCTGAGATAATTAAGTACACTAGCAATTTTTGATAGAAGGTTGGGAGGATAAAAGTATATTTTGTAAAGTAGCCAATTATCTATTGGAGTCTATGTTCATGTTCTACTGCTGGGCACAGACTCTGTCTCATTTCTCAGAAGGGTATGAAACAATGAGTTGAGCAAGGTGCTTATTGGTAGACTACATCTTTAAAATATTTTTATTTCTTAGACACACAGATTTCGTCACAATGTTCCAGAACATGATAAATTAGCACTTAAAATTTGAATTAACATTAATTCATTTATTTCAGTGGTGTAGACAGAGATCAAATTTGCTCAAAAATATAAACATATTAGTAATCCTAATAAAAATATTATCTGAACTAAAGTTTTAGAACGGCGATTGTTTTGCAATTTAAATTTTACATGATTATTACCTTAATTTTTTTACTTCGTTGGAAATCACATGGTCATCATTTAGTTTATCTAACAAGCGCAATTGAGTATGCTTGCAGTCTGTTTAGTACACATCATCTTGCTATTTTGATACATTTCCATCAGTGTTTTGACAGCAAAATTATTCCTCATACCTTTTTTTGTGATGGCTGATCAAATATCACACTAAGTTTATTTGAACTGTATTATCTGAAATAAAAACATAAAAGATTGTTTGTCATTGTCATTCAGACAACCTTGATTTTGTAATTATTAAGACTAGAGGTGTGCGATTGTGCATAAAATAATGTTGACAATTAATTGTTTTAAAAAATAGAATTCCTCATTTACTTCAGCCATTAACTTAAAATTTTAATAAGTTATTATAAAAAGAATTTATTATTATGTTTCATTCATCATTCATTAATTGCAGACTATCATAAAGCTACTGGTAAACATAAGCCTTCATAGGTTATCATATAAGGTGTACATTTTCCATAGTTGTAACACTTGGCAGACAAGTTGGCAACCAGTTTATTATTATTACTAAGTTGTTATCAAAGAGATCACTTGAAATGCCAGGAATTAAGTAGTTTTATTCAATATACAGTACTCCCGTACATCTTTATTATAATTTTTTAAATTTAAATTTTATATGAATACTGAATATATATATATATATATATAATTAAATGTACATACCTTTGTCATCTTTGATGATAAACCTAACTCAATTGACTCCAAAGATTAGTGTTGAGTTTATCCAACCTTTTTTAGGGCTTAGCTTTCCATTGACGTCAGTGGAGTTTGGTCAGTCAGTGGTATTTTTACAGAAAGATTACACTATTATAAGCACACACACAAAGTCTCAATATACGGAAACGCGTAATTTTTGAGAAAAGAATAATTGAAAATCAATTATTCTTGCAATGTTTATGTCTAATCTGCTAATAAACTGGCGCCATTTTGTAATGTCATTGTCGACGTCAATAGGGATGTCCATTCTTTCAGATCGATTCAAATCGTAAGCTGATGTATCGGTTCACAAAAAATCGATTTCTAAAATATCTATATTTTATTAATGTTTCTATTTATAATGTAAATATAAACCCATTTTATGAAAAACAAGAAAGATACCATGATAAATGATCTCTTATTGAAATTTGTTTTATTTAACAGTACCTATTAGGGCAAATAACAAATAAAATAGGTTAGGTTCAACTTATGTCAAAGAACCGAATTGATTGACCCCGACTCCACCTGGTGCGAGTCTGTCTTACCCCTAGAGTGGTTTTATAGAGCCGGAGGCGCGTAGGGGGAGCAGCCAGCGCCGGAGACGTAGCAGTCTCATAATAGATACAGAAATCCTTATGAATCAGTCCCCTTATTTTTTTATGATGAAGGGGATTTTTTTCTCATAAAATGGATTTATATTTACATTATAAAAGCAAACATGAAAAAAATATCGATATTTTAGAAATCGATTTTTTGGGAATCGATACATCAGCTTACAATTCGAATTTATTTAAAAAATCGATCTTTTTCGGAAAGAATCGACATCCCTATTGACGTCGACAATGACATTACAAAATGGCGCCAGTTTATTAGCAGGCAGATTAGACATAAACATTGCAAGAATAATTGATTTTCAATTATTCTTTTCTCAAAAATTACGCGTTTCCGTATATTGAGACTTTGTGTGTGTGCTTATAATAGTGTAATCTTTCTGTAAAAATACGTATCAACACCAAACTCCACTGAAGTCGATGGAAAGTCGTACCTTTTTTAGCCTTATTAATGTCAGATTTAGCAGTATGAAACCCTTTATTCAAAAATTTTGTGACCAAGCAGGCTTCTTGAAAAGGTTACTGGAATGCAGCATACTTTTAAGTTTGTCTCAGTTTATAAAGTCCAACCACTTGTTTCTTTGGCCTTCAGACTCGTCAGACTCTTCTCTGTTACTTGCACAATTGGGAATGAAACACTTAAAAATACATTTTAAAACTAAAAATTATATACAAAATACACTAAAGCTAAAGAAAACGTCCCGTCGAAATATATAACCTATTAAACAATAAACACCCTTTCGTAAAATAGCAGTAAAATGCCAATAAAACTTTATTTATAATTTATAGTTAGTTCATACTTCATAGAAAAACAAAATGAAAATTTCCAAGAAAACTTCTAACTTGACAGCTACGCGACAAACGACAATAACATGACAAAATGGCGGCAGCGGGAAGGGGCAAGAGGTGGGAGGGACGAGGGAAACGTCATGTTCTGAATTGCTCACTGCATTTCATACGGTCAAAGATTTTTGCCCAAAGATTACTAGCCGTGGATACTACCACAAACTTTATAGAAACACTAGATATGGACACTACGTATTTATCACAGAATAGAGGTGGGCAATGCAAACCGTATACTGATACGAAATCTATATATTGGTACAATATCTAAAAACCACTTACTGGTTCGTTTCAAAACGATGTATTACAAAATCTGATATTTGCGTACCGCCGCGATGCCTATATCGCTCCGCATTGGTCGGTGGCTAGATTCGCCGTGTGCGACGGAGCGCGAGCGATATAGATATTATACCGGTTCGTTCGAAAACTATGTATTACAAAATCTGATATTTGCGTACCGCCACGATGCCTAAATCGTTTCACATCGGTCAATGGCTAGATTCGCCGTGTGCGACAGAGTGTGAGCGATATGGGTATTAGATTAGACATGGCGGAAAATTAAAGTCTTACTAAAATCTTATATTTGTACACTACACTAAATAATAAAACTAAAACAATTTCACTAAATCTTAATTAACTTCCCTAGTAATTATTTTTTAAAGTTTTTATATAAATCCCTCGTAATATTTTGATGAAAATTGTTACGGCCTACGGCTGCTCTCTTAAAGGATCAGATCCTCAGGGGCCCATGAGCTGAAGACCTCTCGAGCAGACGTAGGTCGGGCCTCCTAAGGCCACGTGGAATCTCTCTAATTACACTAAAATATATGGGGGAGCGCTACACTACGGCCAGTCGACCGGAAGGAATTTGGCGGAGTTCACTTACCTCGATCCAAGACGACTGGTCCCTCCGGAGTCGGTCAGGTCGCATGTAGTTGTGTAGTGCAAGGGAAAGAATGGTGATGTGGTGTGTATCTGGGTGTGACTGATGGTGATTAAACCTGGACCTTAGCCGTCGGCAGCAGCCCGAGCGTCGACACCGCTCCAATTTGAGGGGGCCTTTCGAGGTTATCCACAGTCACTTTCTTGGTTCACCACGATGACAGTCACTTAACTCTATCGTACGATTAACTAGCTTACAGAAGCCACTAACTATCGCGGGGTATAAGGTTACCGCACAAAACACGCCCGGAGTTTCTGGGTCAAAGGTCACTACCGTTTCGCGTGGCAACAGTTAGTTCTAAATACCGAGGCCGCACTAGCTTATATTGTCGAATGCACTTATGCAGGTTCTGAGTCAGACACAATAAGTCCCGAGAAGCTCTCCAGTAGGAATGCGCGTCACAAATCCTAGACCGTATATTTACGGGCCGCACCTAATTATTCCGAGTTCCCTAACAGAACGGACCGCGTGCTCACGTCAGCACCGATTATGGACTATTGACGCGCTTGCGACCCGCGCGCCACTGCCACGCTCGGAAGAACTTCAGACCGGAATCGCGCCGAGCCGAGTGACATCTGTTGTCGATTCCGACAACAGAGTTTTGCGCGAACAAACCCCCGTCCCGGACATAAGGATTTAGGTCCGCGAGCAAACCGGTCAGCGGGACAAGGTCGAGACAGCAAGTTGCAAGACCGAATCTACAACCAAACTGGGCCACCTTAGGCAATCCATTAGGTCTTGCAACCATAATCAACGCCTCAAAGATATCCCTAATGTGGCAAGCCGGAGGGTCAGCCTCCACTGGATGCCCCTCCTGGGCATCGCAGCACTTTAATAAGTCCTGTACTGGACAGAAGTCCGACGACCTCTTTCAAACACCTATCTGTGCCCCTATGACTAGTTCCGCAATCCGACCGGATCAGCTCTGCAAACAGCGACGCTACACGAAGCTGCCCAGACAAATTTTGTGCCAGCAGTTGCTTCAGTGCAGAGCGCACCCACAAATTACACATGAACGTCGTCTGTGGAGAGCCAAACGAAACGCACAGATAGTCCCTAGTATGAATTTTCAACAAGTAGGCCTAGCCAGGCCACCCACCATATTATCATTTACTAAAATAGTGCGGCAGCTGATTTCAATCTGATAATCTCCAAAACTAGCTAGCCTGTTAGACAAGTAGTCCTATGCTCATATTTCAACTAATTTTTCAAAAGCATCAATGTTCAACTACAGAATTAATTCAACCAAATTAATAACCGATGCGCATAGGTCAACTTGCAAATTAAACAAAACAATAACGTAAGGGACAGCCCTACTTCTTCGCAAAGCAAAATGATTAAACACTATCATAAACATAAACATAATTTTTCAAATAGTGCGCCATTCAATTTCCTTTCAGCAAACAGACGCAGCGATCAAATACAGTGATTAAATATATGTACAAAACACATGCAGTAGCATTTAAAAGAGTAGATTAAATTCAATCCTTTTAATTTAAACCGCTACAAATAGGAAAATTTCGCGGAAAGCTCAAAGCATTTTTTAATTTTAATTCAAAGTATTTTTTAACTAAGTGCTCGACCAAACCAAATCTAATACCCCTTGACAGCGTGATTCAACGCTCCAGGGGGGCCCTAATCTTCCCACCACCAAGGGGAGGCCACATGGCGTGAACCCGAGATAAATAGAGCACAACCTTTAACAGTTGCAACTCGGGTTGTACGCTTTCACTGAGGCCGTCGGCAACAGAACATTTTGACAAGTGGACTGTTGACGGCTTAAGGCTCAGTGGAGGCGGCCGTGGTGGGAGCTAAGGCGGCAGCTAGACAGGGCCGCCTCCATCAAATGGGGAACAGTGGTACACCAGTCGCGGCCACTCAGCTAACGGAAGTGAGAAGGGTCCAGCGGACCGATGAGTGGCCGTGAAGTTCCTCTCCACACGCTGAGGGGGGGTGATGACACTCCCGCCCCTGGGGGAATTACCCCCCAACTGGTCGGGGGAGGGGCCCCTTTCAAACTTAGGGGCGTGATGGCTGGCCGGCGGGCGCCGAGAGTCGCCCGGCAGAGGGCGTGGCTGAGCGCCCCCGCCCGTGGGGGTCGAGGGCCTGGCAGAGCCCCGAGAGGAGACGCCGTTCGCACTCAGGCACAAAACGGCATGATGATTGCCCTGGCAATGCAGAAAGGGCCGTCGATGCGGACAGTCTTGCTGGAGGTGCCCTCCCAGACATGACCAGCACCAGCGGCGCTCCTTGGCGATAGTTCGCCTAGCCGAAACCGGCTTACCTAATAATTTCGGGCACGACGTTACCCGATGATCAGATGCTCGACAATAGGAGCAGGGGGGATTGACGACGACTTGCCTGGAGGATTCAGCCTCTCACTGGGCACGGCTCGTAAGTCGTCAACGGTGCCCGCCGCGCTCTCTATCTGCCGGCACTGCTCATCCAAAAACCGCAGCAGGTCATAGAAGGGCGGAATATAGGAGGCCTCGTCCCCGCCGTACCTCTCCTCAAAATGGATTCGAAGGTCGAGAGGTAGACGGGACAGCACGATGCGGAGCAACAAAAAAGCCCATTCG